CACCTCGGCGCTTCGCTGCACGCCCCGGGCCCCCCGGGGGGTGCCGCGGAAGCGGCGGAGCCCAGCCAGGGCCGACACAGCGGGAGCCCAGGGATGCGGAAGCCCGGGGGAAGGGCGCCTCGTCGGGATTTGAGGTTTTTTTTTTGGGGGGGGGTTCATGGGTGTGGGGGATCGATGCTTGAGGGCTACAGAGAACGGGGATCTACGGGGATTTAAGGTTCAAGGTTGCAGGATTCGGGGTTTCTGCTCATGCTGAGAGTTGGTATGGAGATGCTGAGCCTGAAGCGAAGTGAAACCCAAACGTGAGATTCCGAGGCAGAAGGGTTGAGTGCAGGAAAGACCTCTAGCAGTTTGGCTGCCTGAGCAACGTGGCTCGTTGTCAGAGAACCCCAGTTCCCAGGAAACTGTGAAGGAATAGCAGTTCTTCGCAAGAAGACTGGCACGAGCTGTTTTTGGGCGAGTGAGGTAGGACCTTTGCGGAAATCGAACATGTCTGCACAGTCTCCATCCACCCACGAACCTGGGAATGCGCCTCGTTCTTTCAGATCTCCCGCTGCTCATTTCAGGTGCAACCTGACACGCAGAGGAAGTTTGAAGCCAAGCCCCGAGACTTGGTTACGACTTGAGCTTCAGGTGTTCAGAGATGTTGCGGTTCACTGCTCTTGACTCTGCTGGCGGCTAGAGACAAACGTAGATCTACAAATGAATGAGTGGTCTGCTAGCTGCTAGCTCGTTGGTGTGTGAGTGTATGTATATACACAAAAGAGAAGCATAAACATAATGCTAACATGACACGCAAGCATCACTACACTTTAGCTGACTGCAGCTGAGGCTCGCTGGAGGCCACGCGCTGTGGCCAAGCTGCGGGAACTCGCTCCACGCGCAGCATTGTCGAAATAAGCATCGTCTGTCAATGACAAAAACTTGCGCGGGATTCCTAAACCTTAAGCCGCCCTAAACCGCCCCCGCTATGACGGACCTATGTACCGCAAACGTAGCATTCGTCACGTCGAGTCTGGATAGCTTGGCTGGAGATGGTGCGAGCATCTTGATCATCTTCGTGGTTGTTGCTGGGATGTTGGTCAATGCACTTCATGTGCTTGTTCGGGCTGCGGTTGCTTGCTAGCTGCTAGCAGTCTGAAAGAAGGTAAAGCTGCGGATATCCGACACACCCATCACACTGCACGTTCGCCTCAGGGACCTAGCTGTACATCTAAACAAGAGAACCAGGAACATAATGACACATACCGAATATGGAGAACGAAAAAGGCACCACTAGTTTGCAGAAGCCCTATTATGAATGCCGGTAAGTTTCGTCAAAAGCCCCCAAGACCCACTGAAGAAACTCGGGATTGGTCCCTAGCTTGCTGAGGTCTCCCACTGTGGCGGGTCTACCTGTGTCACCCACTGCCAGACACTGCACCGAGAGTCACCGAAACCTTAGGAGGAGACTGCGGCTTGTGTTATAGGATCTCACACGGCTCAAGTTTTCGGGATTGTGCCAGCATCTAACTAAACATAATGGTGAGCACATCTTCGGGGACGGGAGTTCGTTCTCTTCATTAAGTTTCTTGGTCTTGCTGCCTGAATAAGACTGGCTCAGGACGCTGACATCTGCCGCGTACATAGACCCGTCGAAGTTTTGGAGCATTGATACCATGTAGTTTAATATGGCATACTAAAATGAAAAATGCAATACAATGCAATACAACAGAAACTCATATAGTACAGTATGGCATAGCGTAGCAATTGAAACATAGCATAACGCTCAATAGAACCTGGACAGTCTCTCACATACTTCATGTTATATACTATACTCTACCTACAAGCTGTTTACTGTGTAATGTACTGTATACTGTAGCGGTTACTAGCCGTACCATGTGCGACACACCACCTACATCTAGATGCTTTGCACTTTTATACACACTTTGCATTGTGCACCGTGCACTGTGCAAACATACTACACGCCGACTATATACTATATGCTATATAAGATTATGAGCACTGATATACTATTCTATAATATGAAGTACTGTGTATGACTCGCCTCTGAGACCTCGACAAGCGCTTTTGCACATCTTCTCGTCGGTGACTTGTTCTAGGCCAGTGTGGAACAGGCCCATACCTGCAAGTTTGAGGTTTGACGGCTCTCGCCTTACTTCGGGATTTTCGGGGTGTCGGCTGGAGAGTTTAGGACTTTAGGGTTTCGGCGCTTTCAAATTTTGGAGACATGACCTTTGGCCGTTGGAAGCGCTCAGGAAGCAGATGGAGGAGTCAGGGCCCGGGCAAAGCCCCGGCCAACCTTTGGCACGGTCATGCAGGACCGTGGTCCTTGGTGCCAGGGACCGAAATCAGATTTTGGTTTGTAACAAGGCGCTTGGAGTTCAGAATGCAGGGATCGACCCCCGGGCTCACGACATTCGCGGCCCTTTCACGCACCGCATGGACAAAGCAGTTTAGTAGAAGCGCTTTCTATGACGCAAGGGATTCCTGCTGAATCGATGCTTTCGTGGATCTCAAACGCTTTCCTTGATAGAAGCACGAGGGACGTCGCACCCTCTACCCTAAATGCCGAAGCACCCTGATCACAATTTTGAAGAGACCCGGTGTAAGGCAAGAGCTCCCAGCAATGAGCTGGCCTGCACAGCGTGCACTCAGTGCGTGAAGAAAGCACGTGTTCAGCGGCTTGGGATGCAGGGGTTTGGGGTTTAGGGCTTGCTGTAAGGGCTAACGGTGTAGGATTTAGGGAGCAAGCGAGAGTGCTTGACTTTGGAGAAAAACGAGTGTTTGGCTCCAGGCCTGTTCCGAGCATTGCCCATACACATCATGGCACCCCATGCAGGAGAGCCAACTGACAGGTCTTCGGCAACTCATCAGCCAAACATAAAGCAACGCCAAGCAGTCATGAAGCACCCAACTCATATTTCCCACCATTCCCCACCCCCTAAGCTCTGAACCAGTGGGCGCAGCCTGCCTCCCCTGTGCATCCGATTGCCAATAGAACATCCTGTAGGGCTGGAAGCCTCCAGACCTCAAGCAATTGTTGGGATGACTTGGGAGTTTCCGAAAATACGGGGTACCTTATTTGGGGATCCTTATAATAAGGACCCAACTATTTAGGGTACTATATCAGGGTCCCTTTTTTCGGAAACCCTCACTTTCGGATGTGGGATAGACATAGCAAGTCAGCGCTCTTCTCCGTCTTGCTGCTGCTGCCACGAAGTACCACCACGAATTACAGCCACTGAGAGCATGGCCAGGAGGCATTGCTGTCGGCAGCCGTAGCCGTGCCAAGCGGCCATTTAGCCCTGCAAACCAGGCACTCTGTTGTGGGTTATGGTGGCTGGTTATTATGAGTTGACTTGTTGCGACTTTCGCTGTTCTTGTATGCACTTGCAATCACTGGTGTCGCCAGCTTCTTATTCATGTAGCTGGCACCCAGCGGCTAACTCTGCGTTATGCTCGATATAGTTTTGCATCTGATGTCACATCACTCATTCTATCTACACTGTACTGATTGACTTTCTGCAGTCGTAGAAATTCTTTGCATACAGACTGGTTGCAGTTAGGTGTCATGAGTAATTGACTGCAGTGGGATGGAGGTGGGCATCTACTGGATACTTTAGTCGGAATATGTGCCTCCCAATATGATTCATGCAACATGTCATTGAATACAAGAAAATTGTACTGCAGCAGCAAACAACTGTAGCGGTCTAGTGTAGGAGACACAACAGACATTTTTCAGATCAATGATTACCTGCATCCATACGCGGTAACTGCACTATGCATGCGGGAATGTGGGTACAGACTGACTGCACGCGGTCATTAGACACTCTCACCTATTGATTGAAAACCACACACCCGCACACTCTGTGACTCTTTGCCAAGAGTTTCCTATTTCTGGGGAGCACATAAAAGGCAAACCCCCTGCATGGGTCCGCACCCTCTCTTCAAGGTCTGCCGTCTTCACTTCACTTCACTTCACTTCACTTCGGGGTCCAGGAGGCTGGTCAGGCCCCCCGCGCCGAGAGGCGCGCCCCTGTTTAGAGGCTTTAANNTAAGGGGCAACAACAGTCAGAGCTCGTAAAAAGATATGGTTCCCCCGTCAGTTGTAGAGAAGAAAAAGATATGGTTGCAAAATGAGTCTACCTAGGTATAGAACAGGAGCGTTGGTCTGTGACGGGTTTCCCGATATCTTTGCGAGCGAAGCACGCACATACAGTTCTTTCCCCCTTTCGGATCCACGCTGTAATGCGAAGGGCGGACTTGCAGAAACAAACGTAAACAGTTACACAAACGTCTGCCGTCTCTCTCTCTCTCTCCTAGCACGCCCAATCCAAACCTGGACTCTGGACCCCAGAGTCAAAACCCGAAAGAGTCTAGCGCAGGCATCCAGACGATGGCGTTGAGCTCCCGGCGGCGCCACTCCCGCTGGCAAAGGCACAGCAAATGCTGTAGCCAGGCCAACAATCAAAAGGCCCCCTGGAGTGTGGTTTGGCTTGATTTGGGGAGAATGCTATGCCTCTTGCTCATGTGGTCCAGCAACCAGAAATTATTGGGAGCATGCGCGGCATAGTCAAGGGTGCAACGAGTCTGTGACAGCATTAGTCGCGTTGCGCTTTGCCCTAAACTGTAGGATGCTGACTGTCACGACTCCCAATCTGAACCGGATATAGTTAGCTGGACAAGCCTTCACAAACATCACAGAGACATCATCAGCTTCTTCGCCTCGTATATCCATCTCTGCGGCCGCGGACAAGGCCACTAGAGAAAGGGCAGTTCAGCTGGAGCCCGGACACCGAGAAAGCCAGCGCCACCTCCCCTCTAACTTGAACGAATCTTGAACGGCTACCATCTGTTTAGGCAAGATTGCACGATGGACCGTGGACGATATCTGCTCGCACTGTGCATCGTTTCTGCCGTTTCAGCACGCGCACAGAGGAATTCAGACCTCCGAGAACAAGTTGCAAGCGACTCTTCTACTTGAGCCAGATTTACTCTCACTGAGTCTCGCGGCGCCTGAAAACCCAGGCGACCTTGGTGTTGGCCCGTGGGTTTGGAAAAGAAGGGGTCGATAATGTGTAAAATGCTGGCTTAGATTTCATTGACCAATATGTAGTTTGCGCTTTCTAGCCTCAAGCAATACCGCCTGCCAATCTCGATCCGCTTACATGCCGCCCAAGGCTAGCTGCGGCTGAAGAGCTGGCATCAGTCCAATCAGTACGAACCAGGAAAGCGGCAATCCAAAGATCATGTGCACAGCCTTTCGGGGCAATCAGCAAAAGACAGCTTAGAAAAGGTGATGGCGTGCCATATGCCGCGCCTTGTGGACAAGGAAGAGCAGCAAGGCCCAGTCGTTGAGAAATCCAAGTCTGTCCTCTGTGAAGATCTCTCTGGGGAAGAAGCCTGACATCTTTTGAATGCAGGGACGGGAGGTACTGCAGGCTGCACAAGAGTCACAAGACCTCTGGGCCAGGGACGGTCGGAGGCACACAGCCAAGCAAGGATGCAAACCGTCTCCATGATTTCGGCTTTGGATCTCGCGAAAGGAAAACTCAACGAAACGCATCGAGGACGCAGCACCAAACGAGCTCAAAATCGCCTCAAGACGAGATTATGAGTGGGATGCACGTCGAGTCGTACATCTAGAGATGGCGGCCACGTTAGCCCAAAGGCAATAAGCCTTGCAAGCGAGTTTGGGACGGTGCACAGATGCGAAGATCGGCAAACTTTCAAGTCAAGAAACCAAATAACGCGTCACTTGGAACTCTTGCTGCCGCGACACACGAGAAACCAATACCGGCAAATGTAGTCACCTTGCTGCCATGTATCTACCCCATGCCCATTGAACCCTGTTTTGAAGCTGCTCAAGGATAGCAGATGCTCAAGGAAGGCCAGGCACCCACGAGTTTCCGATATCTGACTCCATAAGCGAACGAGACCATGCCTCGTCACAGAGCGAAGACAACTTGCAGAGACAACGATTATGAATGCCAAATACCGACTACAGCAATTCTAACGCGTTGTCCTGTAGTAGATAAATGTCACATACCAACCGAACCATGCAAGGAGTAGTAGAAGCAGTGGCAGAGGCTGTGGGGCAGTGGCAGTAGCAGTAGTCGTCGTCATCGTAGTAGCAGCAGTATCAGTATCAGTATCAGTATCAGTATCAGTAGCAGTAGCAGTAGCAGCAGCAGTAGCAGTGGCAGTAGTAGTAGCAGTAGAAGAAGAAGTAGAAGTAGAAGTAGAAGTAGAAGTAGGAGTAGAAGTAGAACTAGAAGTAGAAGTAGTACTAGTAGTAGTAAGTATAAGTAGTAGTAGAAGTAGTAGTAGTCGTAGTAGTCGTAGTGGTAGTAGTAGTAGTAGTAGTAGTAGTAGTAGTAGTAGTAGGTGGTGTTGTTGTTGTAGTCGTAGTTGTAGTGGTAGTGGTACTGGTAGTGGTAGTAGTAGTACTAGTAGAAGCAGTAGCAGTAGCAGTAGCAGTAGTAGTAGTAGTAGTAGTAGTAGTAGTAGTAGCAGTAGTAGTAATAATAAGTAGTAAAGAGCGACTACTAACTAGTAAGTAGTACATGTGAATAGTAAGTAACAGTAGTAGAAGAAGTAGTAGCAGTACTAGTAGTAGTAGTAGTAGTAGCAGTAGTAGTAATAATAAGTAGTAAATAGCGACCACTAACTAGTAAGTAGTAAATGTGAATAGTAAGTAACAGTAGTAGAAGAAGTAGTAGCAGTACTAGTAGTAGTAGTAGTAGTAGTAGTAGTAGTAGAAGCAGTAGCAGCAGCAGTAGCAGTAGTAGTAATAGTAAGAAGTCGTAGTAGTAGTAGTAGTAGTAGTAGTAGTAGTCG